CTAAATAGCAGATAGCCCTCCAGTCTCAAGAAATACAAGCCCAGGAATTCATCACCCACAGGTTTCACGCACACACACTTTTTCTTTTGTTTGTTTTGTTTTTCAAGACAGGGTTTCTCTGTGTAGTTTTGGTGCCTGTCCTGGATCTTGCTCTGTAGACCAGGCTGGCCTCGAACTCAGAGATCTGCCTGGCTCTGCCTCCTGAGTGCTGGGATTAAAGGTGTGCGCCACCGCCTGGTTCCGCTTTTTTTTTTTTTTTTTTTTCTTTTTAAGACTGGGTCTCACTATGTAACCTTGACTGTGCTGAAACTCAGTATGTAGACCAGGCTGTCCTTGAACTCACAGAGATATTGCCTGCCTCTACCTCCTAAGTGCTGAGATGAAAGATGTGGCCGCTGCCCCCACCTTTCATGGGTTCCCTTTAAGCTGAGTCCGAGCGTCCCAAGCACTGGAACGGGGCATGAGGGTGTGCTGTCCTGTTCTCACTTCCCACTACAGATCTACTTCACTGGCTGCTCCATGAACCCAGCGCGCTCCCTGGCTCCCGCAGTCGTCACTGGCAAGTTTGATGACCACTGGGTAATGGACAAACCCCTGCCTTCCCTGTTCCTAGAAACCATCCCAGAGAGACACTAGGGGGCTACAATAGATTTGTGTGGGGTGGGGGTCGGAGGGATGGAGGGGTGGGTGGACTTCTCAATCCCTCCGCACTTGTCCTGAGGCCCTGAGAAACCTTTGTTCCACCCTCCAGAGCTGGGCCAAAGATTCTGTCTTCCCCTGTCCCTTGCTATAAATGAAGATAACAGTCGGTATTTTATTGGCTTTCTTGGGGAAATTAAGCGAGTTTATCTCCATAGCACAGGGCCTGGAATTCAGACCCCCAGTAAATGATATTCATGCTTAACCATAGTGCTTAGTATGTGCTGGGCCCTTTTCTCCGAGGTTGGCAAACCGTAGCCCGTTTAATTGCCCCATCTCTAGGAAGTGAGCATTCTTTTAAGGAAAAGAAACAGACTCAGAGAAAGTGAGTTGTCTAAGTTCACACAAGTGGTGGAATCAGGACTCACAGCCAGGCAGCAGGCTTAAGAATTTACCCACTCGCCCCCGACACGAACAAGTCGCCCTTGGCGGCTCACGCTATTGCATCAGTCTTCACAACATCAGAGGCACCCGAGGGCCGGTTCCTACCCAGCCTGGACAGCAACGTGTCCAGTGGGGGGGGGGGTGTCCACGGGCTGGGTGAGTCGGTTCCAGAACCTCTCCTCTCGTCCCTCCAGGTCTTCTGGATCGGACCCCTGGTGGGCGCCATCATCGGCTCCCTCCTCTACAACTACCTGCTGTTCCCCTCGGCCAAAAGCCTGCAGGAGCGCCTGGCGGTGCTCAAGGGCCTGGAGCCCGACACCGACTGGGAGGAACGCGAGGTGCGGCGGCGGCAGTCGGTGGAGCTCCACTCCCCGCAGAGCCTGCCGCGCGGGAGCAAGGCCTGAGCGCCCCGCA